AAGGAGTCAGTGCAGCCCGGACCTTTACCCTTCAGATACTTTGCTGAATGCAGCCTGTCAAGGCTCACCTCCTCCAGTAATGAGAAACTCAATACCTTCAAACATGCTCCTCGTACCCGGTTAAAATGAGGTTCCTGGGTGGGAGTCCTGATGCAGTGGGTTCACCTTTGTTTAGGACACCCACATCCTGTGTAGGAGTGCCTGGTTCAAGTTCCAGCTACTCTGCTATTTTTTTTTTTTTTTTTTTTTTTGACAGGCAGAGTGGACAGTGAGAGAGAGACAGACAGAGAGAAAGGTCTTCCTTTGCCGTTGGTTCACCCTCCAATGGCCGCCGCGGCCAGCGCCCTGCAGCCAGCGCACTGTGGCCGGCGCACCACGCTGATCCGATGGCAGGAGCCAGGTGCTTCTCCTGGTCTCCCATGGGGTGCAGGGCCCAAGCACTTGGGCCATCCTCCACTGCACTCCCGGGCCACAGCAGAGAGCTGGCCTGGAAGAGGGGTGCCCTGACCGGGACTAGAACCCAGTGTGCCGGCGCTGCGAGGCGGAGGATTAGCCTAGTGAGCCGCGGCGCCAGCCTACTCTGCTTCTGATCCAGCTTCCTGCTGATGCACCTGGGGGGCAACAGGTGGCTCAAGTACTTGGGTTCCTACCAGTCTTGTGGGAGACCCAGCGGGAGCTCCAGGCTCCCAGCTTTAGCCTGACCCAGCTCAGCTGCTGTAGGCATTTGGCTAGTGAACCAGCAGACAGCAGATATCTTCTCTCTCAAATGAAAACATATAAAAATTTAAAGGAACAATATTCTTCATCCCTTTTTAGTCACTTTGTATCATTCTCAGGATACTAAGTTTCAAGCAATAAAATCAAGCCAAAAAAATAATGTAATGACAAGGTACTAAGCAGCTGAGATAGCCATCAGGAAGGCTGGAGAACGAGCCTCAGCGGCTACAGATGGCCTCTGAGTATATCTGTTACATTGGAACCTTCTACAAACCAGCTGACACGAGCCACTGTCACCACCATACCATAGCTAGCCCCTCTGACTGCAAACCCTGGAAGCTTCTGCTGGCATCTCCTCACATGGTAGTGTCCCTTTCTCTCTCTCTCTCTCTCTCTCTCACACACACACACACACACACACTGTAGATGCTGATGCTGATGCCTCACTGGCCCCCTCCATCACCAAACTGCGAGCTTTATTTTGGCTCCTACTATTCTTAAAGATTTATTTATCTGTTTATTTATGTGAAAGACAGAGTGACGGAGAAGGTGGGGAGGAGGAGCAGGAGGAGAGAGAGAGAGAGAAAGAATCTTCCATCCACTGGGCCACTCCCCAAATGGCCACAACAGCTGGGGCTGGGCCAGGCTGAAGCCAGGAGCTAGGAACCCCATTCAGGTCTCCCACGCGGATGGCAGGGGCCCATATACTGGGGCCATCATCTGCTTCCTTCCCAGGTATATTAGCAGGGAGCTAGATCAGAAGTGGAGCAGCTGGGAGCTGACCCTGTACAGATACAGGATGCCAGTGTCAACTTAAACTGCTGTGCCACACAATGCCAGACCCACTGGGTCCCCACTGTTTCCCAAGCCTGAGTCTGAGCCAACAACACAGCTTAGTCAAGCCCAGCTCACATGCTTGATCTCAAGCTGCTAGAAGAGGCAAAAACAAACCAAATGGCATTTCCACCTTCCCTGCTGGGAAAATGATCAATAAAAAGAAAACTGGAAGTTAGTAAGTAGGAAGCAGAAGTTAGGAAGTTAGGAAGCGGCAAATGCCACCAGACATACTGCACTCACACAACTTGAAACTTCGACTTTAATATAGCACCCACCCATCCTGCAGGCTCCAGAGGAATCCTTATAGCAAAGGGCACTTTTTTCCTGTTTTTACCCTGGGGTAGGAAGAGGTCTGGGCCTCCCAGGAAGTCATCACAAGAAAACTCGCTGTGCCCACAATGCCTCAGTGTTGGCGATGGCAGCCTTGTGGGGGGTGGGGGGCACAGCCCCCCTCCACACCAGCGTCTGACTGTGCCCTGGCAGGAGTGACTCCTGCCGCTGTCTCTATAGACAAAATGCCCAGCATACAGGAGATGTTGCAAAGAACCTTTGTGGAATGAAAGAATACATTACCTGATTCAGTCTCATCGTTGCACTCTGCAATAAGCAGAGCTAGCATTCTTTGCCCTGTGACACAGATGACAAAACTGAGGCTGAGAGAAGTTCTATGACTCACATAAAGACCCAAAGTTTGTTGCTGCTGTCTTTTTTTTTAAAGATTGATTTCTTGGGGCTGGTGCTGAGGCATAGTGGGTAAAGCTGCCACCTGCAGTGCCAGCATCCCATATGGGCACCGGTTCGTGTCCCTACTGCTCCACTTCCAATCCAGCTTTCTGCTATAGCCTGGGAAAGCAGTAGAAGATGGCCCAAGTCCTTGGGCCCCTGCACCTGTGTGGGAGACCTGGAAGAAGCTCCTGGCTCCTGGCTTTGGATTGGCACAGCTCCAGCCATTGCGGCCAACTGGGGAGTGAATCATCAGATGGAAGACCTCTCTCTTTCTCTCTCTCTGTAACTCTGCCTTTCAAATAAATAAATACATCTTAAAAATTGATTTATTTATTTGAAAATCAGTTGGGGGTAGGGAGTGGAGAGATAGAGAGTGAGAGAGATTGATTTACCACCTGCTGGTTCATTCCCCCAGTTGGCTGCAATGGCCAGCACTGGGCCAGGCTAAAGCCAGGAGCCAGGAACTCTATTCTGGTTTCACATGTGGATTGCAGGGGCCTAAGCACTTGGGCCACCTTCTGCTGCTTTCCCATGTCTATTAGCAAGGAGCTGGATGACACGTGGAGAAGCCCAGACTGACACCAGTGTTCATATGGGATGCCAGTGGCATATGTGGTACCTTAACCCAAGGCTCCCTAACACCAGCCCCCGAGCTGAGGTATTAAATCTAAACTGTCTCCACTCCTACATGGAAGAGAAAGAAGCGACCCCATGTGCCTAGCCTAAGCATCCTATTTCAGTCTCCTTTAGTGGCTGGGCTTCACTGGTTTGATAAAGCCACAAGGACAGCAGCCACCAAAGGCTGGCTAACGACATCAGGGCCACCTAAACAATGGCACAGTTTCACAGGCACCAACAAGAATCCCCCTACACAATGAAGCTCCTACCTGATAATGTTCTGGTTACTACAGTACATGCCATATTACCCCATTATCGGTGTATAAAGCCACCACCGATAATGCTGGCAGATCCCACGGGGAGGAACTCAGACAAGGCACAGCAGGGCTAGCACAGCTCTGCTCCGTGACATCCGCGGCATGGACTGGAAGCCTGGAGGCTGGGGGCTGGAGCCATTGGAAGACTCATTCCCTCGTATGTCTGGTGGTTGAGGCTGGCTTTCCTCTGGGAGCCTCAGCTCCTCTCTGCACAGGCCTCTCTCTCTGCATAGGCTAACTTGGGCTTCCTCAAGCTTGCTGGCCATGTTCTGGTGCAGGGATCCCAAGAACAAGCCAGGCAGATGCTGTGTCCTTTTTAAGTCCTAGTCTTGGATGTCACATAGTGTTACATCTAACATACCCTGTTGAATATGCACACACATACGCACACGTATACATATGCATGCGTCTATGTAAATTATTCGCTATTGTCTTACAACCAAGCCCCTCCCCCTCAACAGTCAGAAGCGTGAAACCACACACATTTTCTGTCTCACGTGGTTTGTTGGGGTCAGGAGGCTGTGAGCTGGCCAGTTCTGGCTCAGGCCCTCTCCTGATGTTAGGGGGGCCATAGTCAATCTGAAGGCTTGAAGGGGCTGCAGGATCTGCCTCCACAGTCACTCACATGAATGCTGGCAAAGGACCTTGTCCCTTACCCTGGGGGCCACTCTCAGGGACTACTCATGTAGCAACTGGCTTCTCCGTGGCCAGTGAAGAGACACAGGCACCCAAGATGCAAGATACTATGGCTTGGGCCGGCGCTGCGGCTCAATAGGCTAATCTTCTGCCTGCGGCGCTGGCATCGAGGGTTCTAGTCCCGGTCGGGGCTCCGGATTCTGTCCCGGTTGCCCCTCTTCCAGGCCAGCTCTCTGCTGTGGCCTGGGAGTGCAGTGGAGGATGGCCCAAGTCCTTGGGCCCTGCACCCGCATTGGGAGACCAGGAGAAGCACCTGGCTCCTGGTTTCGGATCAGCGCGGTGCGCCAGCTGCGGCGGCCATTGGGGGCTGAACCAATGGCAAAGGAAGACCTTTCTCTCTGTCTCTCTCTCTCACTGTCCACTCTGCCTGTCAAAAAAAAAAAAAAAAAAAAATGGTATGGCTTGGGCAAGATCTGGCTCCTAAATGCATATGGGCACCCCTTAAGTCATAAGTTAATGGCACTAAGAGGGTAGAAGCTTAATCCAATTATGGTGTTCAGTAGGTGGGCCTTGTAGAAGGTCCTCGGGGTACTGAGGACTGCCCCTCAGAAGGCAGTTCTTACAGAGGCCTGAGTCAGGCTCAGCTGTTCACTCCTCTTCCTGCCTCGCCATGTGATCCTTTCTCTGCACCTGCTCCGCCACTGCCAGCCTACCCATTTCCCACAGACTGTTTGAAGTACTCTTGGATATGGGGAAAAAAAAAAAAAAGACACGGAAGAACCACTCAAAATTGTTCACTAATCATTTCTTGTGTGGAATTGAAAGGTAGAGAAGACTTTCCTCTGAATGTCTGAATGTATTTCAATAAATATTTGTTATTTAAAAAAACACATAAATAGATAAATATGAGCTCTCTACTGCCCAAATGAGAACATCCAACAAGGATGGAACCCTGGGTGGCGTGCTGTGAGTGCATCCCCTCATCCAGTATCTCTGTGAGGAAGGTGCAGTTAACCCTGGCACAGAGTCTAGCCATGGGCACACACGCTGGGCCATGCAGCAATGCGCATCAGGGAACAGGCCATGCAGCTTCTAGAACTCAGGCTTCTGCACTCGGGAAATACTGTGCTGCCATGCCCACAAATTCACCTGCTTGTCAAACTCAGGCTTCAGAGACTCCTCAGTGAAGATGTGAAATTGGATCTTCCTGTGGCTGAAGAGCACGGCTGATTTGAGCATGACCAGCGTCTCCTCCAGCCGATTGCCACAGGCCACCACGGCCAGGTGGATCCAGAACTCAGGCGGCGGCCCGGCTTGCAAACTCCTGGGATCTCCGGGCCTCCTGGAAAGAAGAAAAACAAGTTCAAGCTATCATTGTACTCCCAGAAAATGAAAACAGCGGGTGAGTGGTTGGAGCATTTCACAACACGAACAGACACAATCTGTTATATTTTATAAAGCGATAAGCATTTTGACAATTCTTCCTGCTTGGAGAAAAAATACCATTTATTCCCATATTTATCCTGGCAATAGCAGGATGAGTCATTGTTTGGACTGCTGTAGGTGTCTGAGACTTTTTCTGCCAGCACTCAGCTGTCCAGTGCCTGCTGGCTGCCTACTGGCCCATGTTTGGAAATAGCACACTGCTCAGCTTTGACAGCTGACTCAAGGGCTGAGGCGCTTCCACTCACACAGGGCATGGAAATCAGATTTCAATGTGATCTGAACAAGAGGAGGGTGGGCTGCGGCGTTCCCATGTGAAACGCGCAATGTGATATTCCCATCATCTGGATGTTGTAGGCTGCGGTGGAATGCGTGACCGCTGAACCACAGGAAAATCACGCAAGTCCAGGAGGTGAGCGAGAAAACGGCATGTGTGCCACCCCCTCTCCTGTGTCCCATTACATCTCAGGAGAGTCCTGAAGGAACAGGTGTTAATCCTAACTGTCTTGCCAAAGACTGGGGAGGTGGTGGGTATGAAATCCAGCATCCAGCATGAAATTTGTATTATCGAGAAACAGACAGGAGAGGGAGCAGGTTAGCCTGCAAGCGATCGAGGTATCTAACACGCAGTCCACAGCTGGGAGGGCAAGCGCGTCCAAGAGTCCAGAATCATCTTCCAGCTATTTCCTAGTAATAAAAGATTTGTTCCAGACAAGGAGACGCAGCCAAGCCCCAAACACACCACCGAGAAGCATTTGCAGGCAAGCTGGAAGAAATTGGCTTGGAAAAGGTACTCGGAGACAAATGAAACTAATTTACTTGCACAAAAGATTTGCAGGCCCAGGGAACTTGGATGTCAAATGCTACCTGCCTTCCAGAAACTTGGAGTTCCATCAGCACGCTGTTCCATTATTCACCGCTCTGCTGAATAATGGTCGTCTTGCTCCAGATGTCTTTCACCAGGAGGAGGGTGGAAGACGTGGGTGGAGCGCTTTGGGAAGCTTTCCAATGAGATTACTTCAGAGTGCGCTTCGCAGCACAGCCTAGTCCAGACGTGAGGGTTACTTGGACTGCAGTTACTTTGGGAATCCCAGGCAGACCAGAGAGACACCCTGAGTCACTCTGGAGTGTCCGTTTCTCCTCATCCCTGCCATTACCTGATGTGGTCAGCATCTTCTCTCACCTCTACCACTGTGACAGCCCCCTAGGTGGTCCACCTGCCTCCATTATGGCTATCTAGAGCCCACACCCCACGCTTTCTCCTTACTGGTGCCTGGAGGATGTTCTTCTAAAATGCACATGGGATGGTGATATGCCCTTAATTAAGATATTGCAAGTGGGGGGGGCATTTGGCCTAGGGGTTCAGACTCCTACATCCCATATCAGAGTGCCTGGGTTTGGCTCCTGGCTCCATTCCTGACTTCAGTTTCCTGCCAATGCAGACCCTGGGAGACAGCAGGGGGATGGATGGTTCAACTGATTGAGTCCTTGCCACCCACATGGGAGACCTAGACTGAATTCCCAGCTGCCAGCTTCAACCTGGCATAGCCCCAGCTGTTGCAGGCATTTGGGGAGTGAACTAGATGAGAGGAGGGTGCTTTCTCTTTGTCTCTTTAATGAAAGCAAAATAACGCAAGGGCACCCTACTACCCTTAACATCAAGTCCCAACTGCCCCTTACGGTTCCTATTACATCTCCTGCAAGTGTCCCCTGCACCCCCAGGCTGGAGGGACGGCTACCCACAACCACCATCGTAGTCATTCCATGTTCATATTCTTTTTTTTTTTTTTTTTTTTTTGACAGGCAGAGTGGATAGTGAGAGAGAGAGAGAGAGACAGAGAGAAAGGTCTTCCTTTGCCGTTGGTTCACCCTCCAATGGCTGCCACGGCTGGCGTGCTGCAGCTGGCGCACCGCGCTGATCTGAAGCCAGGAGCCAGGTGCTTCTCCTGGTCTCCCATGGGGGGCAGGGCCCAAGCACTTGGGCCATCCTCCACTGCCTTCCCGGGCCACAGCAGAGAGCTGGCCTGGAAGAGGGGCAACCGGGACAGAATCTGGCGCCCCGACCGGGACTAGAACCCGGTGTGCCGGCGCCACTAGGTGGAGGATTAGCCTATTGAGCCGTGGCGCCGGCCCCATGTTCATATTCTGTTTCAGTTTCAGTCCCTGACAGCATGATATGCAGGCTGCAGGTCTTGGCACCTGCATCCTCTCTGTCTCGTGTTCTTCCCCACTCTCTTCCTTGCTAACTCCAGCTCATTTATTAGTCAACAAACCATTACTGAATACCTATTGTGTACCAGGTACTATTCTAGTGAGCAAAGCAAAGATGCTTGCCCTTGCAGAAGTTACAGTCTACAAGGGACAAGGGAAATTTTCGACAGAAATAAATAATAGCCAAAGCAGGCAGTAACCACAGAAGGGGCTAACAAACCATCTAACCCTTCTGTTGTCTTAAAGATGAACACATCCTCCTGCCCCCAAAGAGAACAGCTCCTCCTGTTTAGCTTCACATGTCACGCCTCTGCACGAACTTCATACCAAGTGCTAACCTTAGTGATCAGGAAAATACAAATCCAAACAGTAAAGAGATCAACTTTATTTTTAGTTTGGCAAAAATTAGAAAATTAAAGGTTTTATCACCTAGAGATGTGGGGTAGACAAGGGACAGGGAACAGCTCAGGAGACGCTAGGGGTGTTGGAGTTTGGTCCACAGTCTTTGGAGAGCCATTTGGCAACAGTTAGCAGGTGTGAACATGGTTGTCCACTCTTTACAACCCCAGTTCTATTCCCTCAAATACTAGGAGTCTTCAAAAGGGTCATGAAAAATGCATGTTATGGTCAAAACTATGGGTAGATTAAAAAAAACTGTGCCAACACACACACACACACACACACACACATGCAGAGAGAGAGAGAGACAGAGACAGAGACAGAGACAGAGAAAGACAGAGAGAAACTCCCATCTATTGGTTCACTCCCCAAACGGCTATAACAGCCAGGGTTGGGCCAGGCTGAAGCCAGGAGCCAGGAACTACATCCAGAGGGGGTGGCAGAGGCCCAAACATTTAGGCCATCTGCTGCTTTCCCAGGTGCATTAGCAGGTAACTGGATTGGAAGCAGAGCAGCTGGGACATGAACCAGCACTCCCACATGGGATGTAGGCATCTCAAGTGTGGCTTAACCCTTTATGGCACAACACCAGTCCCGATAAAATTATCTTTTAATTCTACTTTCCACCAACTTTTGGACCTGAACAACTCCTGCATGTTGGCACAAGATCCATGCAAGGCCGGCGCCGCAGCTCACTAGGCTAATCCTCCACCTTGCGGCGCCAGCACGCCGGGGTCTAGTCCCGGTTGGGGTGCCAATTCTGTCCCGGTTGCTCCTCTGCCAGGCCAGCTCTCTGCTGTGGCCAGGAAGTGCAGTGGAGGATGGCCCAGGTGCTTGGGCCCTGCACCCCATGGGAGACCAGGAGAAGCACCTGGCTCCTGCCATCGCGCTGGCTGCGGTGGCCATTGGAGGGTGAACCAATGGCAAAGGAAGACCTTTCTCTCCGTCTCTCTCTCTCACTGTTCACTCTGCCTGTCAAAAAAAAAAAAAAAAATCCATGCAAGAGTGTTCACAGAAGCCCTCTGTATGACAATGAAAAATTGGAAATAAACTCATTGTTCATGCAAAGGAGAATCATGAAGATATCTAGTATAATTAAAAGAGGGATGGGCCGGCGCTGTGGTGCAGCGGGTTAACACCCTAGTCTGAAGCCCCGGCATCCTATATGGGCGTGGGTTCGAGACCCAGCTGCTCCTCTTCCGATCCAGCTCTCTGCTGTGGCCAGGGAAAGCAGTAGAAGATGGCCCAAGTCCTTGAGCCCTTGCACCCATGTGGGAGACCCAGAAGAAGCTCCTGGCTCCTGGCTTCAGATCAGCGCAGTTCCAGCCATTGTGACTAACTGGGGAGTGAATCATCGTATGGAGGACCTCTCTCTCTCTCTCCCTCTGCAACTCTTTCAAATAAGTAAATAAATCTTTAAAAAATAAAAGAGAGATTTTTATCTGCATAGCAGTGAAAAGGCATAAAGCAGAATGACAGGCACCAACTTAAGGACAAAGAGCAAAAGCAGCAGTTTCTCAAAGGACAGCAATAGAATGACATCATTTAGGTGAAGCTTAAAAACAAGCAAAACAGCACCGTACATTATTCACAGACAGATGTAGTGAGAGGGAGACGCAGGCTTGAGGATGGAGAATATCAAATGCAGGACACTGGTTATGTCTGGGGACTTACGATTTTACTTTTAAAAAGGGTTTATATACTGGGGCCAGCATTGTGCTGCAGTGGGTTAAGCTGCCACCTGCAATGCTGGCATCCTAAGTGAACACCGATTTGAGCCCTGGCTGCTTTGCTTCTGATCCAGTACCCTGCTAATGCACCTGGGAAAGCAGCGGAAGATGACCCAAGTGTTTAGGTAGCAGAGCTACCCATGTGGGAGACCTGGATGAAGCTCCTGGCCCCTGGCTTCAACCTGGCCCAGACCTGGCCATTGGGGTTTTTTGAGCAGTGAACCAATGGACACAGTGTACCAGCAGATGGAAGATTTCTCTCCCTCTCTGTTACTCTGCCTATCAAGTAAATAAATATTTTTTAAATGTTGATTTATTTATTTTCTTCTACCTGAAAAGCAGAGCAACAGAGAGAGAAAGAAATCTTCCATCTGCTGGTTCAATTCTCAAATGCCTGCAACAGCCAGGACTGGGCCAGATTGAAGCCACGCGCCCAGAACTCCATCCAGTTCTCCTGGTAGGGGCCCAAGCACTTGAGCCACCATCTGCTGCCTTCCAGGTTGTGCATTAACAGGAAGCTGGATCAGAAGCAGAGGAGCCAGGACCCAAACAAGACACT